ACATCAAATAAGTCTAAACATAGATGCATAAAAGACTTTTTCCTCTGGCAGTGTGCACTACAGCACCCTTTCCACATGTCACCTAAAGAGGCTATGAAGGGGCAAATAGTTCAGCAGTAAAAAAGTCTCTGGCGTGCTAGGGGGATAGTACAGTTGGTAAAATGCTCGCCTTGCCAGTGGAAGGACCTTGAGCCCAAGCCCCAAAATGTCATGTCATGAAAGAAGTAGCCATTTCTAAACAAAGATGTCAGACCAAGGCTTGAAACATCCAGGGATTTCTCTCCTTTGCAGTACCCAAACTCCAAGTTTGAAAAGCTTCATCCCAAAATATCCGCCACCATAGACAGAGGATGCCTATCATGTCTGACAACCCCAAACAGAAAATTTTCTCAACTGCTTCCCATGTGTAGAAGAAATGAGGGCATTTTTCTTTGTAAAAATAAAAGCAGAACACAGTTGGCTTGACACAAATAAACCATCCTGTCAGTGCAGAAAAACACACACACATACACACACACACATACACACACACACACACACACACACAATTTGCCTGAACTCTTAGATAAGGTACACTTGTTACAATTCTAATATTTAGGTGGGTTTTGTTGTTGAGGGTGAGAGTTGGTAGCTCTTCAAGGGCTAAAGATCCAGGGTTAATGCTCAGAAGGGGAAAATGTAAGCACATTAATTGAGGTTAAGTTAGTTACATTTTTGTTTAAGCTAAAATTTCATCTGGTTCTGGAAAGGAGAGATAGTACTAGTTTGGTCAGTAAGGCATAGGATACTGTGTATCTTGGTTTTATTTCCACTATTGTGATAAAACACCCTGACCAAAAACAAACAAAACAAAATAAACAACAACACCAAAGCCTTCGGAGAGAGAGCGATGTAGTAATGATTCCAGGTTCCAGTCTATCACAGTCCAGAAGTCACAGTGGCACGAGCCTGAAGTGACTAGTCACATCATATCCACAGTCCAGAGCAGAGAGGGAGATGCTTCAGGCCCGCCTGCTGGCTTTCCTCTCTTACACAGTTTAGGAAGCCCTGTCTAGGGAATGGGGCCAGCAAAGGCAGACTGGGTCTTCGCACAGCAATTAACTCAATTAATACAATCCCTCACAGACATGCCGATAGGTCCGCCTAATTCAGACAGTTTCTTGGTTAAGACTCTCTTCCTACGTTATTCTAGTTTGTATCTAGTTGACAGTTAAAAACTAAGCATCAGCCAGTTGTGGTGGTGCACAACTTTAATCCTAGCTCTTGGCAGACAGAAACAAGCAGATCTCCATGAGTTCAAGGCCAGCCTGATCTATATAGAGAATTCCAGGACAGCCAGGGCTAGATAGAGAGACACTGTCTAAAAACTAAGTAAGTTACTTACTAACTAACTAACCACCTAACCAACCACCATTTGGTATTAAATATTCTTCTGGTTTCTCTGACCAAATATCTTACAAAAAGCAACTTAATGGAGGAAGGGTCTACTTTTGCCTATGGTTCTCAAGCACAGTCCATCATGGTAGGGAAGCCATGATGACAAGAGGGGGAGGTGTCTGCCAACACTGCATCCTCAGCCAGGAAGCAGAACATGGGAGGAAAGCAGAGCTGGGAGATTAAGGCCCACTCCTGGGGAGGCTCTGGCTCTTAAAAACTTCACAACCTTCCCAAAACAGCATCCCCAGCTGGGAGCCAAGGGTTCAAACATAGGAGCCTATGGGGAACATTTCCCGTTCAAAGCACAACAGAGATAATATTATGCATTTTACAAGCTGAGGCCCAGAGTGGAGAAGGGTTTTCCCCAGAGCCTACCACTAAAGAGTAACTCGGAGAAATCAGGCAACAGGACAGGAGCCTACCACGGACGGCCTCTGAAAGACTCTACCCAGCAAGGTATCAAAGCAGATGCTGAGACTCATAGCCAAACTTTGGGCAGAGTGCAGGGAATCTTAGGAAAGAAGGGGAAAGACCTGAAGTGGACAGGAGCTCCACAAGGAGAGCAACAGAACCAAAAATTCTGGGGACAGGAGTCTTTTTTGAGGCTGATACTCCAACCAAAGACCATGCATGGAGATAACCTAGAACCCCTGCACAGATGTAGCCTATGGCAGCTCAGTCTCCAAGTGGGTTCTCTAGTAATGGGAACAGGAACTGTCTCTGACATGAACTCAGTGGCTGACTCTTTGATCACCTCCCCCTGAGGGGTGGGGGCAGCCTTACCAGGCCACAGAGGAAGACAGTGCAGCCAGTCCTTATGAGACCTGATAGGTTAGGGTCAGAGGGAAGGGGAGGAGGATCTCCCCTATCAGTGGACTGGGGGAGGGCCAAGGGAGGAGAAGAAGGAGGGAGGGTGGGATAGGAGGGGATGAGAGAGGGGGCTACAGCTGGGATACAGAGTGAATAAACTGTAATTTATTTAAAAAATAAATATTTTTTTTAATTTTAAAAAAGAGTAACTCAGTGCAATGCTGGCCCTGCCTTCTGGAATTCTTTCTCTCCATCACTGGCTACTTCTGACTGGCCAGCCAGCTGTCCTTTCACCTCTTCATATCACCTGTCTAAACGGGATGTGTCCTAAGTGATTAGTAAGGGCTGAACGGGATGGAGAAATAGCTCAGCAGTTAAGAGCACTGGCTGTTCTTCCAGAGAACCCGGTTTCAATTCTCAGCACCCACATGGCTGTCTATAACTCCAGTTCCAGGGGATCAGACACTTTCACACAAACATACATTCATGCAAAACACCAATACACTTAATAATAAGTAAATAACTTTAAATAAAAAAAAGAATAGTAAGGACTGGGGATGGTGTCATATGGTGGCGTGCCTGCCTAGCATGGACGAAGTTCTGGGTTTTATCTCCAGTGATGCAAAAGCAAACCAAATAAATAAATAAGTACTGTTTCTTCTGTCAAAATAAAGAGTCAAGTCACGCATGGTACGTCTTTCAGGCATCCATTCCATGGTGGTTTTCCTAGGAGCATAACTGGATTGATTACAGCTATTAAAAAAAAGCCAGCCCTACCCCTGCAACCAGACAGAAAAGCTATAATCACCCCAGGCATTTCCGAGGGACCTTTCAAAGAACATCATTAATTCTGAATAAAGTTCTCCTTTCCAACACCTTCCAATTATAGACTTGACATTCCTGTTTTGTGTTAAAAAAAAATTTCTCTGTCATTTAATTAAATGAAAATGAATCTACTTTTAAAAGCTCATGTACTTCTGTAGTAGCTAGCACCTGGGCTGACTTGGAAAAGTAAAATAAACAACAACCTTTCCTATTTCTTTCATTTTGACATGTTTCCTGGGCCACACATTGTATCTGTGAGTCTGTGCACATAGGTATGTGTGTCCAGTCCAGACTTCTGTGCCATTAAGTGTCTTTCTCAATTGCTCTTCATCATATTTTTTGAGACAGGGTCTCTCTTTGAACCTGCAGCTTGCTGATGCAGCTAAATTGATGGGCTGTTGAAACATTCTTTCCTCAGTCAGCTCTGCCACTCGTCAGGACTATGTAGGTAGTATTTTTGCATTTTTTAGTTCATGGACCTCACCAGGGGCCTTATATAATAGGACCTACGGCTGGGTGTATGACTCAGTTGGTAGAACCGTTGCCCAACATGCATAAAGCAGTAAGTTTTATTCCCAGAACAACATAGACCAGGCATGATGGTACTGCTTCTAATTCCAGTACTTTTAAGGTACAGGGAGAGGAATCAGAAGTTCAAGGTCATCCCTCGCTACTCAAGGAAGTTCCAGGCCAGCTTGTAATACCTGAGACCCTGCCTTAAATTTTAAATTAAAGTAAAAGTAGTAACTAACTCGTTTTAACAGAAAAATGAGGCACACAGGTATTAAGTAACGAATGTCTGGAATTGGAACCACGACCCAATTTCTCACTCCCAAACCTCCAGGAACAGCTCTGGGATTGGGATAAACAACAGGACTGATAATGGAGGTTTTTTTAAACATACACACACACACACACACACACACACACACATACATACACACACACACACACACACACACACACACACACGGGGAGGGGGAGAAAGGGAGGAGGAATGGGGAGGGAGAGAGAGAGCAAGAAGAGGGAGGGAGAGAGAGAGAGTGAGGAGAGTAGCAATACACACATCCAGTCAGAGAGAGAGACTGGGAAGTGGCTTCTAGCATTTCAGAGCATGGACACTGGTGGGTGTGTGCGTGGAGCTTGGAGTGTCAACAAAGCGTGAACACTACAGTAGTTTCTTTACTTATATCAAAGTAAATGACATCCAACCACAGTCAGGACAGTCTGGCCTTGCAGGGATCAAAAGTTGGCAGCACCAAGCCTGATGTGGGCAGAGCCACTCCAGAATCCAAGGTGTGGTCCACGTGAGGACATGGACTCAGAGAAAGAACTCAGGCTGCGAGGCCTGGTGGAAAGCGCCTTTTCCAAATGAGCCAGCTTGCTTGCCTGAGCCCAGCTAATCAGACAGGCTCCATCACTACCGAGAAAGACAGGCTGGAGCTGGAGCTGAGTTGGTACACTGAGCTGTCTCTCACACAGGAAACTCTGAGTCCCATCCTTTTCCTCTCCCTCCATTGCTTACGCAGAGACTGGTGACGCATGCCTATAATCCTCCACTTGGTTGGCGGAGTCCAAGGCTGTCCTTAGCTACATAAAGAGTTGGATTTCAGTCTGGGCCTCATGAGACCCTGTCTCAATACACTCGCACAAGCGCGCGCAAGCACGCTCATGCGCGCGCGCGCGCACACACACACACACACACATACACACACTTTTGAGGTTTGGAGGCTCCAGCACTAGTCCTAATGTGCAAGTGAAGAAACCATTTTCTCAGGTGCACATCCCACAGGTGGTTCGCTAGAAGCACAAGCGATAAGGCACCCCACGTGTTCTTCGAAAGCTATCCAAACTCTGTAGATTCTTCCCTTTTCTAAATGTCTTTTTTCCGGGATCCCCCATCCCCAAACCCGCCACCAGTCCCTTACCTGCATGGGGACGGGCAAGGGCACCACAGCTCGGCGTCTGCGGCCAAACCGAAACTTGGCAGCTTTGTAAATCTTCCAGTAGACGAAGAGCACCACCGCCAGGGGAAGGTAGAAGGCTCCGCAGGTGGAGAAGACGGCGTAGGAGGGCTCCTGGCTCACCTGGCAACGCTGCAGCCGAGCGTCGTAGGCTTCTCCCCAGCCAAAGAGCAGCGGGGCGAGCGCGATGAGCGCCGACAGCGCCCAGGTGACCGCGATCATGAGCGCAGAAGCGCGGCGCCGCGTGCGCAGCGTGTACTGCAGGTGGCGCGTGATGGTCCAGTAGCGGTCCAGGGCGATGGCCGCCACGTTCCAGATGCTGGCCGTGCAGCACAACACGTCGAAGGAGATCCACACGTGGCACAGACTCCTGCCCAGGTGCCAACGTCGCCCGGCCGACAGCTCGCTCACCAGGCTCAGCGGCATCACCAGCGCCGCTACCAGGACGTCCGAGACGGCTGTCGAGGCCACCAAGTTATGGGGCACGCGGTGAAAGGCGCGGACGCGCAGGATAGTCACCAAAACTAGAAGGTTCCATAAGAAAGTGGCAGCGATCAGCAACACCAATAAAGTGACCACCAGCACGGTGAAGACAGAGAAAGGCGGCTCGCGGCCAGGCAAGGTGAGCCCTCCTGGGGTGGACCCCACGCCCCTGTAGGAACTTGGGCCGTCACTGCCGCTCTCGGGTCCGGGAGGAAAGGCGATGCCAGGGGTGGCGCCTGAGAGGTTAGAGACTTCCATTGCTCCAGGGCTTGGGCTCTCAGGCAGGAGAAGTGCGGTGTGGCCGAACGGACTGGGGTAGGTGGCGAAGTGGGAGGGGCACTGAGTGTCCTGCAACGCAGAAAGAAGTGTAAATCGCGCCACCCTGGTCTTTTTTCCAAACTGCAGCCTTCTTTTGGCGCTTCTTTTGGTTTTCATGGACTCTTTTCCAGTTGAGGGAGAAAAAAAAAAATGAGCAGGACCCCTTAGTCCAGCTTTGCCCAGAGCATCGGTCTCTCTCAGTCTCCTGGCGGTCTTCACAGTAGGCGGCTGCAGAGGGCTGGAAACCGGTGCCTGCGGACAGGGATAGCTCAAACAGACCTTCCCTGGATGGTGGCTGGAACCAACGGCCCCCTGGTGTGGGCTGAAATGGGCGGAGAAGGTTTGAAGCCGCCACCAATAGGAGCTGAGGCTGTAGCTGAAAGCTGCCCCAGCGGTCTGCCGCCTCAGTGGGGCGGGGAGAACTGTAGCATCCGATGCCTTAGGGAAAGTTGCTAACATCCTGTCGGGATTCCGTAGCTACCACCTCCGCAGATCCCTCCTGCGGACTTGGTGGCTCTGTGACACACTGGAGCCATTGGGGTTCCAGCCAAAGGCGTTGTGGTTTCCCGGGACCCCGATTCTACCTGTGGCCGGAGCAACCGTCTCAAATACTGGAGTGCGTGAAATAGAAAGCCCAGCTCGGCCCCAGCTTCTTGGTGCCCAGCTCATAGGGAGGGCTCCTTGGGCCCTGAAATTTTCCCCTAGCTTTTCGCTAAAAGCTGTAGGCTGAAGCTGTTCCGCAGAGCTCTGGAAGAGAGACAGTTTCCAACCTGCTTGCCACCCCGGCTTCCGGTGCTTCCCTCCTTTTTGTTCGGTTTCTTGTAGCTCTATTACCCTCTCCCAAGTTTAAGCCTGAGCTTTCGTTGTTGAAACTTTTTTGTTTCTTATGGTGCTGGGGATGAACCCAGAAGCCTTGCCCACGAATGGCAGGCGCCAGCAGCTAGTCTCATCTACCCTCGGATAAACAACAACAAAAAAGCACCTCCACCACCAACACCACGTGTGTGTGTGTGTGTGTGTGTGTGTGTGTGTGTGTGTGTGTGTGTGT